CTTTGTCTTCCCATCTTTGTATCCCCTACATGCAGCATATACTTACTAATCAGTCTGTGGATGAAATAGATGAATATATGAGTAAGTCCCTCTCCCTGCAGGTGGCATCTACTGTTTTGCACACAAGAGGGAGCTATGTTCCCTCATTGCCCTATACGATGCTTATTCAATGTTAACTGAGTATCACCAACAAAGGGCTAAGGACTGGGCAGGAAGGGATTTTTAGTGTTGTCAATTTTTAGTGCTTTCACAGAATTTTCAGAAAGCCTCTTCCAATAGTTGGAGACTCCAAAACATGAATGGTCATGTTTAATTGAATCTGAAACATACATTTCAACTCTAGCTGAAAATGAGTTAGAATTTGTGGATTAAATTATTTTGTAAAATATGTGATAGTGATGCTTATTTTAAAGCAGATGTTTATTGGTCTAAGAATTTTCTTTATTTGTGACACCTAGACTGAAGCTATTATAATGTTGATGGAAAGCTATGTTTTAAGGAAAGGCTATAAAATGTAGAATATCTTGGTTATTAAAATAGGAAGATAAAGCAAGTTTGAATACATAGTATTCAAGTAAGAGTACATGTTATATGCTGGAATCTCAAAAACAAATAAAAATAAAAGCAAATAATAATGGTGTAATGTATTTTGGTCAGAGTCATATATTAGCATTATTCCTGCATTTATTTGAAAGGAAGGTTATAAAACATTTTATAAGAATGGCTCATCCCTATTAACATGGTACTTCAAAGAAACACTAACAAAAGGCTTTCTGTACCATAGGTCCAGAAGAACACTGTTAACTTATTCCCAGTTCTCCAAAATATTTATTAAAGATGACTAAAGCAAAGACACTTGGTGAATAAAATTTGCCTTGTTTAATTCCTTCTTGTTCAATTTAACGAATTAGGTCTTCTGTAATATACATTGCCCAATTTATTTTTTATGACCCTGATCCTAATTTGGTTTTAATTATTAAGCTAACAGGCCTCCTGCATGAAGAGGTAGGACTGAAATGAAAAGTCCCCACACCTAGCAATCTTGCTTTTCCTATAACGTTTGTGATTTCCCTTGGGAACACCCCTCCCTGGCTTGCCAAGGAAGGTTTGACAGTAAAATTCTTTCTAATGTGAGAGAAATCTCCTGTTAATCTTCCCTAGCTGATAACCATGATTGTTATGTGTACACAATGTACATTGATATAAATAAGCACAAGATACAGTCAGACATACACCTATGGGTTCATAGAAATACAGACACAAGAAGGAAGGAGTTCCCAGTAACACAGACATCTAGACAAAAAGGCCCTCCATCAGAGGCCCCTGTGAGAAAATTGAGGCACTTTCTCACTGAGTGGGCCAAATCCCCACACTTTGGGGTCCTCCTTTCTTACTTGACCTGCAGAGACCTTTCTTACCTTCTCTTTCTGAACTCCCTTAAAATTGTAAAGCATTTCTCTTGATCAGTTGTTTCAGACACAGTAACCCATTCCTTACCTACCACAGGATGAAGTGAGGTTTCCCTGTGTGTGTGTATATGAGGGATGAGCAAGAAATAAAGTTACAGTCTTTAAGGAAATATAGCCTAGTATAAGCTCCAGACTTGCACATTCATAGTTCTTATGTGCTTTCTTAATGCTCCATTGCCTCTCTGGCAGCGTCACAAGAATTTCTTCTTGAAGTCTTCCCCTGACTGCCTCCCTCTTCTGGAATCCATAAAGACTACTAACTCTTTACAAAGGGGGAGTGGGTGACTTGCCTGGAGTTGCCAAAGCTCTGATTGGTGATTCACAGGTACTAGAATGTGATGGTTTACTTCTCTGGTTGGGGTGGACCCCATTCAGTTTATATGGTTCTGGATGGCTGAGGGGACCCTGTCCATTCTCTTTTCTTCAAGAAGGTATGTGGGCATGTGTACATGTGTCTTTGCATTAAAGAAGGAGTTAAGTGGAGAAACAGAACAAGATCTGAAAAGTGGGTCGGCACAGGAATACCTAGTAAGGGCTGAGGTGGGTAGGGAGCCCAGGGGTGTCAAATCATGCCAGCCAAACTATCTAGGTTTCAGTTAAGCCGAGATAAGGATTCGATGTCTGTAAATCTTGAGGCCTTATTAAGTTGTGATTTTGTCTGTTTGTTGTTGCCTCTTCTTAGTTTCTCACCAGACTTTCTCTTTGAACTCCCACTTGATCTGAATTTGGTGTGGGTGGACGTAGGAAGTGCGCCCCTAAGGGCAGGGGCTGGGGCGGCACTTCAAGGACCACTCCAAAACCCCTGGACCACACCTACCCCAGCAACCGCATCCCTGCCCCTCAAACCCAGATCACTGTTTCCTACCTTCGCCTCTTCTATCAAATGTGTGCCTGGCATTCCACGCCAGTCGCTTCTCCTGGTGGAACCTCACACGCAACACTCCCAGGGGTAGGATAGAGAAGGAACCAGATCTGGACTTTCAGTAGTCAAAAGCGCACGCCCTTTCTCATGGCGGGGCTCCCTTCCAACCCCCACTCTTCTAGGCTATGACCGGACAAACCGGGTCCTGGATGCTTTCCCGCCCCCCCCACTCCCAAGTCGCTCTCAACCTTCCCAGACCGCACCCGAGGCTCTGTGGCGCTGCGCCTGCCCCCAGCTCCCCTCCCCTAGCCTGGGACAGAGAAGGGACGGGTACAAGAGAACTGGCCCCTCCGCAGCCATCCCTCTGACCCCTCCTTCTCCTTGCCCAGAACCCCAGGCAGTTTCAGCACAAACCTAGCGATGCAGTCAATCCGGGGTCCGGCGGGGCGCGGGCGGGTCTCGAAGGCGTTAAGACCCCCGAGATCTCACGAGGAACTCAGAGCAGGGGTTACCACAGACTCTTACGGGTCTTAGGACGCATGCCTTGCTCCGACGCTTGGCCTGGTCTGCGGGCGTTGACCATCCTCTTGGTCTTAGAGCCCAGTTCCGCCCGCGTGGAGGGGATGTGGGGAGAGCCTCCCCCGCCCCCTCGCCCCGTCTCCCCCGCTTCCGCCCTCTCCCCAGTCCCAGCCGACCTGTAGAAGCAGACTTGCCCTTTTTCGCTGTCCACGCGGCCTCATTAGTCGAGCCTCGCCACCGACGGCACATCTACCCCACCTGCGCCCTGGGAGCCCGTGCCGTCTCACCTTGCGCGCCCGGGTCCCCTCGGAGCACCTCAGCGGTTCCCCGGCGCGCGGGCTCCTATCCCGCCCCACCCCGCCTCGCCCCGCCTTACAGCTGGGGCGCGCCGTCCCCTCTTCACCCCCCAGCCCCGCCCGCCCCGGCGCAGAGCCTGAGAGGGACCCGGACCCGAGC